CTGCATGCCGTTCTTAACTTCTAGATTGTTTTGCCTAGATTAGAGGTGGGGAGTGAGGGGGCCATCAGGATTAGGTTCAGCTGTGAGTTATCAGACATCCAAAATAACGGTGGGTGCATTAAACAAGAAATTCATTTCTCTTTCATGTTTAAACCCTGAGGAGCTTAATGTCCTATCATCTCCAGAGTGACACTTATCTTCATGGTGTAAGATAGAGCTCCAGCCATCACATACATGTTCCAAGCAGCAAAATGCCAGGTAGAGGGAAGGGGAGAACAGGTAATGGGGGCGACTAGCAGTCTCTGCTATAAGAAATTCCAGGACTCTGCCATGGGTGACTGCATGGCGGATGGGGGTTACCACCAACTGAGGTAGAGAATACAGGAAACTTGGTAAACCTTTGTTTATTTATCCAGCATCTTCCTTTCCCTGGAAACAAAACCCTCTGGGTTGTTTTTGGTTTTGTTTGTTTGTTTGTTTGTTTTTGGTGTGGGGGGTGCTGCTTCCCTCCTGTCCAGCCAAGTAGTTCTAGTGGGGGCTCCAATCATCCTACCCCATCTCCCTAACCACAGTTGACTTGATTGGTTGATATGTGGGCATGTGATGTAGATCAGAACAGTCAGAATCCTTCTCTTCCATTTTTTTTCTAACTTAAATGGGGGAAAATACTGTGTCTCGCTTTTGCGGCACTGTTGGGAGACGTGTGGCCTGGAACTGCTGTTGGCCCTTTTACAGCCACAGAGAAGAAGCTTGTCTGAGAGAATGTAGTCAGCATGCAGAATGAGCAGGAGAGTCCTATTGGTGTTCAAGTCTCTGGTCTCACTTGCACTTACGGCCCATCTACATCCTTGCCCTTCTGATGATTATGTGAGACTTCCATAAATCTCCTCTTTTGCTCAAGTTAGAGTTGTGTTTCTGTCACTTGCAATCAATGGGAATTTAAATTCCCACTGTGCTCTAAAAGTTATTTCTGGAATCAGTGTAGATGTGTTTAGTGTCTGAGTGTATGTGTGTGGTGGGGGGAGGGGGCTCATAGGAAACAGAAGCCGGGAGACAGTTTATGAGACTGTTTTCATAGTCTACATGAGAAGCAATGAGAATCTGAACTAAGGCAATGTTAGTGGGTACTGTAGCTCATGGCCAGGCTTGCCATATCTCTTCTAGACTTTGAGCCAGTTGCCCATATATATCTACAGTCTGGTTACCTTTACATGGATGAAATGCAACTAGTGGTTCACTATTCCTGATGAGCATCTTTCCTCTATGTCTTTGGACTTAGTTATAAACGCTGCTTTAAAAACGCCTGTCTCTCAGTTGGTTAAGAGCTCGCTCAAGAGTTTGAGCTCTGAGCAACAGCGGTTCAAGTCCAGCCCGAGCTGAGCAGCCGCTGAGCTGCCAACAGGTAGCAGGATGGCTCAGCTAAAAAAAAAATAATAATAATAAAAAAAATAAAAACGCCTGTCTGCTAATTCCAACATCTAGATCATTTTGGGGCCAGCCTTTATTGGTTGCCTCTTTTCTTCTTCAGTACGGGTCCCACTTTTCTCTTTCCGATATGTCCAATCATTTTGATTTGTCTCCTGGACATTGTAGAGGACGTGTTGTAGAGAATCTGGATTCCATTATGTCCCTCTGAAGAGTATTGATTTTTTTGTTTTAGCAGACAGTTAACTTGACTGAACTCAAATTCCATACTCACTCTCCCCTGTGGTAAGCAGCAGCTAAAAGTTCCATTTCATTCTTTTAGCTTTAAACAGGCTGTTTGGAGACTGGCCCCTGCATGCATGGCTCAGAGGTCAGCCAGAGATTTGGACAGAGTTTATACACAGAATTTAGGACTCCCCCTGTCAGGGTCTCTCCATTCCAGGATTTAACCTCCATGCATTTCAGCAGCTGAAACCCTGAACTCTGTCCTCTGGTAAAGACTGTTTTATCCACCCATCAGGTCACTGATAGGGGCCTGCCTCTGGCTAAAAGCCCTAAAAAAGGCAATCTCACCTAGTTCTGATTTTATCTTTTAGTGTAGATGCTCTTCCAGTTTCTGCCTGCTTTGGGTTGTTTGTGAATACTTTCAGATGGTTGAGAATGTATATATATATACTAAAGTATATTGTTGTTATATCTGAAGGAAGGTGGATTTGATACATTCTGGGTTACTATTATGTAACCTGTGGCTAATGCAGCAAGAATGTTCTAGTGGGATATCAAGAAAGTTTACCCAGGATCTGCACACCAGCTCCTGATGATGTAGCTTGATAAAGGCAGTTTTTGTAAACAGATAAGCTAAGTGTGATGAAATTTCAGGTTGACAAGGTTTGATAGGAATATTGGTCAGAGGTTGAAGTGATTGATTATAAGATTTAGACTAAATAAACAATGAAATGAGAAGCCATGCTAGGAGAAAAGTAGAGGGATCAAGGAGGTCTTGATAAGGTTGAAGAGTTGGTGCAGTGGGAATCAGAGAGAATGAGCTGTAGAGACAATAGTAGACTAAAGTTCGTTGTTTCAAGGGTAAAGAATTCAAGATGATCACATAGTTCAGGGTCATTGGAGATAAGATGATCAAGGAAATGAGAGGCTGGGTGTTAGACGAATAAAAATGTGGAACTTGAAATCACTTAAAATAATGGAAAAACTTAGGGGTGGAAAGAAGAAATTAATTAAGATACCATATGCCTCAATGAATGTAAGGAGTGAGCAGGGGTCAGTAACTGACACAGCAAGAAAGCTGTGATGTGCCTTACAGAGAGAATGCATGTGTTAGATCAGTTTCATTGGGGCATGAGTTATAGTGCTGTTGGCTGTGAGTTCAATTTATTGAATTAGCAAAATGGTACATCCAGAAACAGGAAGAAGAAATTTGCCAATCTCTATGTGAATCCACTCCAGAAAGTGCTAAAGTAACATCTATTATGTGTTAAGACACTATGGAAAAGATGGAAAAGCATCAACATTTGTGGATTCATGAGATGATAACTGAATTTTTAAAAGTGCAGCACACAGCATTGTTGTAAGGCTGAGAGCAGAAAAATTTAAGGTCATATTACCCAGGGTCAGGAAAATGTTAAACCCCTCTCAGCTAGTATTGTATTATAAAGAAATACTGCATATAATTAATTATTTTAACAAATGTAAAATAAGGTGTCTTTAAACAAACACAGTGAAACAAGATTATATATTGATTGGTCAACGGACATGTGACCAGGGGCTTGCAGCAACCTCCTCACTAGGAGCATTGGCTCAGTATTTACTGATTCACTACTCTTGGTGACTTTACTGAACAAAGCTACCAGTTATAATGAGAATCGTACATGTGCGTGCGCGTGTGTGTGCATGCACGCATGTTTGTGTATGCGTGTGTGTGTGTGTTGGAGTATTTTAATGCAAATTGCTGACATCCCAACATTTCCTTTGTAAATATTTCAGTATGTATCTTTAGCACAGTGGTTCTCCAAGTGTGGTCTGAGGACTCTGGCAGACACCTGAGACCAGAGACCCTTTCAGGCTATCTGGGAAATCCTCCTTTTTCTAACTATGCAGCTCTATAGGGTTGGATTTTCTTC